GAAGACATTCGTCAACTGGCGTACCATCCTCATCAGCGATTAGCACACGTCAATCTAATAGTGTGTTCTTGGACAATGATTTAATAAATGATGTTTCAGGACGTCAAAAAAAACAACACCGAAAAAAAGGTAGTACATCCAATAAAGTCAAAGAAATCTCGAGTAATGGTACTTCTGCATCATCGTCACCAGCAGTGTTACCTTCAACCGCTGATGCACTAAATAATATTCGTCATTCGGAACTACCAATGCACCATCAGAACGGCAATGACAAACATTTAGTGCATAATGGAACATCAACAACGGAATCACCGCAAATGAGTGCGCCACCAAGCATAACGTCAATCGATGTATCCAATATTATGAAAGAGAATAGAACAGAGAATAAAACACGGAACGATATTAAGTTAACAAATATACTAGAAAAAAATGGTGTTTGGACAGCAAACGCGCAATTTGGACGCACATCTCGGCTTAGTAAGCAAGTAGGTGTAGTTTATGATCAAAAGAAGTTTCAATTTATAACAAATGGAAACAAAGAAGTTATTGTGCTGACAGCAGAGGAAGTTGAAGGTAAAATTATTATCATACTGGCGCTACCATCTCATCATTTTCCGATCAACTCTAGATAGCCCAAAGTGTCTCATTTGACAGTAGCGTGTCCTGAAGTTTTCAAATTATTCTGGAAAGAAAGTAGTGGACTTTTCATCTATAAATAAAAGTAAGAATGGTGGAATGTAATATAGTCAGATGTCAGTCACAATTAATCCTTTACACCCGGCGGTCCCTTCCAAGGGACATTGATATAATAGATTTATAAAAAAAACGGATCAGCAGGCCATAAGCTAGATTATTACTAATGTAGGACAATAGAGTAGCCTAACGTTTGATTGAAATAAGAAAAACAAAATTTCCATCTTAATTCAATATTTTTGAATTCTAAAATTGAATGAAGTTCAAAAAGAAGTTTTTGTTTTTAAATATTTTCTATACTTGTAACCACTAAACCATTTTTCTAATTTTGTAGTTGATCGTTTGGGTTGTATAAATGTACTTTATAAGAAGTTAAAGCAGAAATTTTTGTAGCATTCTTCTTTGCGTAAAGGTGCTGTGAATTCACTGTCCCTTGGAAGGGACATTCGAATATAACGATATGAAAAGTGAATTTTTTATCTTGAGATCTTGTTAGCGTGGATCATTCTGTGATCACTCGCTACACACCTGATGATGCGCGAATGAAGAAAAAAGACGAAACCAGCAGTATAGTGTCGTCGCCCACAAATGTGAATGCGCTTTTCTCTGATCGATATAAAAATTCCATCTAAGTGCATTTAAAATATTGAATAAAATCGAGGCGCGTCTAAACTTCCTTCGATTTTTCAAAAAATAAGATGCGTCCGAACATACTTTTCTTGCATTGGGATAAAAAGAAAAGCTCGTTTATTAGCGTCCTTAGGGCCATTTTGATTCGGAAAACGCGTTCGGGCACGACCTTTTTGGAAAAATTAAAGAAAAACGTTCAGACGCCTGAACGTTTGTTTCTATGGAAACATTTTTCAATGAGTAAAGAATTAAAAAGAAACTCATAGTAATATACTAGAGTAAAAAAGGAAGTTCGGAATAACAATGAAAAAAATACAAAATCCATGCCGTTACACCCGAATGTCCCTTCCAAGGGAGATCATGTATCCACGCGGCAAAGTAATACCACTTAAGTCTCGATATAACAAGGATGTATCCAAGAAC